AGCAGTTTACTCTTCTGTATCCCACCGTAACTACATAGGGGGCTTTCAGAAAATGCAAGTGCTGCTCTGAATTGCTCTGCGCTAGCCCCAGCAGAGAGGGATTATCATTTCCAAGAAGGGCTTGGAGCAAAGAAGGGCTAAGGAAGCAACCAGAAACGGGCAGGGAAACTGCACTTTTTCCTTTAAAAACAGTAGTGGAAGCTTTCCTGTAGTGTCCTGCAGCAAAAATAGCTGAAGGACCTTCTTTTAGGATGCTCTGAATGTGTATTAAGCATGATGAGGTTGACAAACGCTGCTAAGTTTTGAACGCCCAGCTAGGGGCAGCTACAAACTCTCTTCTAAAGCTGATTAAAAACTCTGAATCATAGAGATATATAAATATACTGCCCTAAATTTAACATATTCCAGATTATCAGCATATGATCATGGCCTTGTTTCCTGGCAACTGAAGACATACAACTCTTTGATAAACACACATATATATACACACACGTACATATCTATACAGCTCTCCTGATCTGGGAGATCAGGAGATCTTTCTGTGAACATTTTTTTTTCCCCTTTTAGCTCATATTGGAGCGCACATCATACAACTTTTAACCAGTCTGATACTCTACATTACTACACTGATTCTATGCAACGATATATTCAGCGCTGCAAAGACAAACGATCATACCCGCAAGTGCTCACTGCTCACCATCTCCTTAATAGTAATAATCAGCAATAAACCTTCCCAGTTCTCTTCAGTTGTCCTGATCAATTTATGTACAAAATGTTGTGACAAAAAGGTTTTGGTGTGTCTGTAAGCGAAACGCAGTGGAGATTCTTGTTTAAAGCAAGCAGAATGGCTGAAAATCACCTTGCAGCAGAGATGGATCCTTCAAAATGGAACCACAGTGGCATTTAGTTTTCACCTACCTACTGTCTGATCTTCCTCAGTTTTTTTAATAACCAACATTCATCTCTTTGGTTACAATGAGAATGCCATTCTTGAAGCCAGTGAGACTGACCACAGTTTATGGAAAGATCCTCAAATTGTGTAAATTTGCATAGCTCTTTTCGATCTCAGTATGGCAGTTGAAAATCTGGCCAGTCCTCTATCCTTGTAACTTCCATTTGTGGTTTTTTTTCAAGACTGAAATTTTATACTTTCTAAGTCTTGTATTCAGTTATATTTTATAAATTTGGGAGAGTAGAACAGACAGAAGCTCTATAGCTGCAGGAAATGACCAATTTTAAACGTGAGAAAGCAAAGCAGGCTGAATAGCTGGAGATGGTAAGACTACTGAAGTATTCAACATGATACCAAAATGCAGCACTGTCTCCATGCCTTCTCCCTTCCTACCTGTTTTTCATCTTTAAAAAGAAGCTACCATTTTAAAAAAATTGTATGTTTTTGCTGATGCATCTAATACACTAGAACATCAACATATTAAAATTGGGGATTGCCTTAATATATGTCCTTTTTTCCTTTAATCATGTCTGTCCATGGGGCAGAGGAAAGCAGATAGAGCAGATAATTCAATAATTCACTTTCAGATTTGAACGCAGTGTATCTCAGCTTCAACATTCTGTTGTCTCATTATTTAAAGATCTAAATTCTCTTTTGGTCCCTTACTTAGTTTTACTGTCCATTGTTTTATGGATTTCTTTTTCTATATGTTCCTAAAAATCAAAGAATTTATGGAAAGTGCTACCCTAAGTGTCTTGCAAACATTACAGCAAATAAACAGAAGAAAATCCCTTCATAATTTTGAAGAAAGTCATAAACAATCAAACTCTTTATGACTTGCCATTTACATGGCTGTATTTCATATAAATTAGTGCTAATGATACAAAGAAGTTCTTTTGAAACTGAACTTGTAATTTATTTTTATGTTTAAACAGAAATGGCATGTTCATGTCAGAACTGAAAGTGCAGTCAAGAGTGTTCCAGCTGCAATCCTGTGCTTAGCATAAAATGAGTACATAGAAAAATTTATCTCCCCTTGAATACCCTTATGCCTACTCATATCAACACAGTAATCTAAGTCATATGAGATGTCTCTGGCTTCAGGGGACAATGCAGTGTCTTCTTCTCCCTGCGCACCCCCATTTCGCAGGCTGTTGCATCACTATACTGTTCATACATCATTCAAGGATCCTAGCTGCTAGGAGAGCCAATAGTTAACAGCCAAAACCTGTGTATAAGACAGAGCTGTATCACCAGTAAAAGTTAAGGCTGCCTCAACAGTCTAGGGAAAACAGTATTCAGTTCTGAAGTGCATCGATGTATGAGTAAAGCATCAAGTTACAGACAGTAAGTACTCACACCAAGTATCCCAGTAAAATCAATTATAAAGCTATCCCTAAATTCAAGAACGCATTCCCAAACAGACAATTACTTAGTTGAATTTATGCACAGTCTCTGAAGGAGCTTATATGTTTCCATTTTGTTGGTCAATAACTAGCTAAAATGTCAGTGTTAAGCTAACACTTTTCATTATTAAAAACACTTCTGAGATGAATAATTATTTACAATGAGCTGGATTTTTGCTACAAGACATCTCTGAAAATGTCTTTCACAACAGGTGAATGCGGGCTGGTGAACGACTCTTGCTTTCAGAAGACTTTCAAAGAATCCATTCCAGACCCTGGCCTGCTTCTGTTGTAGTGCACGTTAGGGCAGATTGTGACCTCAGCCATAGCAGTGTAGCAGGGCAATGCAAGATGCTATGCCAAAGTAAACACTCTACTGGCTTCAGTCGAATTATTTCAGATTCATATAAATGCAAGTGGAACACAACTGAGACTAAGTATATTAAATTAATGACACGTGGTATGGACAAAATGCAGTAGTCTATGCAAAAACACTTTTAGAAACTCTCAGGACTCACTTGGTATATACTGTTTTAAAAAAAAAAAAAGATTAATTATTTCCGTTTTTCTTTTCAGAGTACAGGTTAATAGAGAAAAAGGAATAAAATGCTAAAAAAATTCTGAAATATGAACCTTCATAATTACTATGCATTGCGTAAAAAAGCATTGTTTGGAATATTTCATGTCATGGATTATCAAAACTATCTTTTACAAGCATTCTTTTAAACTATAAGAATCTGTCCATCCACAACTGAAGTATTCTTGCAGATTAACATTAACGCGTCATGAATCATCACCGTTTAATATGCATGACACAGTTTCATTTCACACATGTTCTGCATGGGTTGATCGCCATGCATGCCAATATCAAACAGATGTTAATCCTTTCATTTTTATGCTCCTGAAGTATGTTTTAATTGCCTAGGAGGATTGGTAAAGAAAAAGAGGGAGGTATTTTGAAGTAGATTTAATGGAAAATCTAAAATAAAAATCTATTAGGAAAATAATTTTTAAAATTCACGTTTTCAACAACATAAATGTTAGTATTAAAAAGAATACATGATATGCAAAGGAACTGCAGACTGCTCTCATTAAATGGCACATTTCTTTTTGTAAAAAATATTTTTTCATTATTTTTCTAATAAAAAACATGATTTTAAAATCCGTGCCAATTAAATATGAGCTTTGTGATATGAAATGTTTCTGCAAGTCACCTGCAAGGCATTGTATGTTTATATTATTTCTGAATTCTTAAATTTGGGTATTTTGCAAAGAAATTGAACCTCCATGTAAAACATTGCTATAGAAATTCTCATATCAACAGTGCTGTATGTCTTATTTTGTGGATCATCTAAAGAAAAAAGTCCTTAAATACAAAATATTTCACAAGTCTTCGCTGTACAGAGGCCAGAAATGGAAATGAAAAGATATTCTAGGTTAAGATTAATGTATAATGAGAAAGCTGTTGCCAGCCAGTGCCAGCTCCCACTTCATGCTGTGTCAGATGCAAGCCAAGATTCTCCAGAACCAGAACAGCAGCAGAGCTACAGGTCAGGATGGAAGAGTGTTGGCTAAAAACTGTGAGATTTAACTAATTCCTAATTTGATTAGAGTTGTTAGAGTCATTTCCGTGGAAGTTGGAGCAGTTCTCTAGCTTTGGGCATGATCTTGCTGAAATCAACAGCAACAGGAACGGCTCCCAGGAATTCTGCACTAGAATTAGTTTTACCAAGCTGAAACAGTCTCCAGGTTGAAAATTACAATCATGAAAATTGTTACGAACGACAATAATTGTAACAGTGTTATATTCAATACATATTTATGTTAGATAGTATAAATAGCAGATAAACAATAACAGTAGATAAAATATTATCAAAACCAAGATATTCCGCCCTTTCCCATACCATAGTGATCTTTTTGCACAGTAATACTTCCAACACCAAACAAATTATTTAAATTTCTTGCTTAGATACACATGAGCTGGCATACAGCTTTAAAATGAAAATGTGAACTGACATTTTGAAAAATAACTGACAGTCATGGTACAAGAGTGCAGTGACCTCTGTCCTCCAATATTCCCTTTTTTCTTTTTTTTTTTTTTCCAAATGCCTAAATACATGCAAGGTACTCAGAAACAAAATGCTAATTACCAGTGAAACCTTAATTCAATTCCAAAGAAGTTAAAAATAGAGCATTCCCATTGAATTTACTGGGACAAGAAATGACTCTAAAATGTGGATTTTACACACACCACATGAAACACTTGTGTAGATTTCTGAAAACACACATTCTTCGCATTGCAGGGAATCGAGCCTGCATTCCTTGCTCAACCAAAATTCCCTGACTGGAATAACAGCTTTAGATGTTATTTTTGTTCTCATTCTGTTTTACTATGTTAAATCACCAGATTTTTTTTCTTTTTACGTAAGATAAATGTGTGAAAGTGCCTCCTTTCCATTCATAGATGTTATCTTCCTCGAACTTCAAATGATTCAGCTGGGTGAATATAGAGTTATAAATAATTTATCAAGATACATACCAGTTGTCAGGAAAAAAAAAAAAACTGAAGGAAGAATATCACTGCATAAAATCTGAACATTAAAACTGATTTTTTAAAATCCATCTTTAATTGTTTTTATTACCTCCTAATCCAGGTCTGAGACGATTATCATAACCATCCAGAAGTCTGTCTAGAATTCTTGTAAAGATGGTGATGTTATTCTTAGCTTCGTCTTCCAGGGAGTCAGCCAGCACTGATCTAAACAGACATTTTACATTTTAGAAAGTGCTAGATGTTTTAATTTACACTCAACATGAAGTTTTGCAGGCTGGCCTTGAGTATTTATGGTATTTAACCTTAAGTATATAAAGTATTTAACCGCTGCCCTCTAACAAGAAGGGTGTAGTTAAGAGCATATGAATACACAATTTATATATAACATGTTCAGATACGTAAGAGTCAACGGTAGACTATTTAAAATTTCCAGGAAGTCATTTTCCAGTAGCCTCTACTTCTAGTCAACACTGCATCACCATGAGTGCTACTTCAAGCTCCACTAACACGTTTGACTGTGCAGGTGCAGGAACCTAAAAGAGCTTCCCAGGCCTTGTTGGCATGTCACTCCCGGACTGATAACCCAGGTTCCCGCACACAAAACTGTCTCCTTCCAGCTCTATCCTGTCTGTCCTCATCTTAGTATACACTATCTATGGATAAATCCTGTGGATATGCTTCCACCCAATGGTCATATAACGTACATGACTAGCAGAACTAACATGAGGGAAAACTCCAGCGATCATGCTCAGGGAGTCCTCTGATGTCAGCATCTGGTGGGTGGGAACAACGATGCTGACTAGCAAGCTGCAGGATAGCTGTGGAGAGCCTTCATGTTTCCAAAATGCCGTTTTGTCATAAAAAGCACTATCTGATATTCCACTCTTACAAAAGTTGGCCAGAAAAATATCATAAACGAAGCATCAAGAAGAATCTATAGATCACTGATCGCTTCAAACTTTCCCCAGCAAAGAAAGAGATGTTACAGCTTTTATGGGTCATATCTCTGTGGAAAGCACTGGGGGCTGGAACATGAACCTGCTGTCCAGCCTGCTGTGGTGCGCAACAGTCCTCCTGGACCACGGCACCCGGAGCAAAGGTTCTGTGTCCTAGGGGAACAAGGCTCCAGTGCAGAAAGCCTTACACACGCAAATGTCACTGTGTCAACAATTTTAAGTATCATGCATGTGAAATGCATGAGCTCATCAGTCTTACCTACTTAATACCAGGACATTAGTATCAAGGAGGTAAAGCATCATATGCTACACACATTATCGTTTGTACTTTTTTCAGCTTTCTAAATTTTTAACCTGAAATGTTTGGGTATTTATCGTCTCTAAATGAACTACCGATCAAAACATTATGAATGACTAATTATGCCATAAAACCGAGTATGTTTTCTTCCTCCTCCAAACCAAACGTAGGTTTGGGTGACATTTTCTTTAAAGCAAGCTATAAAATTATTAGAGACAGGGCTTTATGTTGTCCCCAATTCAACAGCATGGAGGAAGTATCTGAATGTAAATCATTGCAGTCTGTGCTTTCCATCACACAAACGACAGAATCGACCCAAACCAGATAACTCAGAAAGCACATACCAAACTGTCATGTGTGATTTTACTGATGTCTGAGCTTTTTCTTAATTATAATTACTGGATGGTTTGGGTTTTATTTTTAAAGCGTATTTCTGTACTGTAAGTCTCTGCCATTTGTTAAGATGCTTTTTGAGATATTACAGTTTTTTGAAGTCAAGGTACCACTAAAAAATTAGTTCATACAATTATATCCAATTAGGGTCAAACCGTGCAAACTTTACTCAGGCATAAACTCCATAATTACGCATGTAGTCTCTTTGACGTCAGTGAGATTACTCACTTGAGTAGGGTTTGCAGGATCTGGCCCACTGTGACTCAACTAATACTGCACCATAGTTAGGCATGAAGTGAAATAGAAAACATAGTTTCAGGAAATATTATCTTCAGTAGGAAACAGACAAAAACAAATGAAGAATTTTTAAATCATAGGAAACTTGCATTATTTAGCTTACGCCCTTACTGTATTAGTACCAGACCTACTGCAGTCAGAGCCAAAGCAAGTAAACCAAAGTTACAAACTACAATTAATTGCACGTTTAGGGACTGTGGGCAACACAAAACTATTATGTGATTAAAATTACTTGCTCTTATGTTGTCACTTTAGAAACGGAGAACTTCAAACAACGTAAGAAAAGTTGATTAATAAATGAGGCTATTGTTTTATTATATGGGATCGTGAAGTTGTATGCTATCTCCACCTAGAGGTTTAAAGCTTAAGTATCATTTTGAATTCTGTCATGTTGACCAAAAAAAAAAAAGACCGGAAAAAAAAAAAAAGGCATGTTGATATTAAAAAATATGCGAGCATTATTTTACAGACTGTGATTTGCCGTTTGACTTCATGATAATCTGTTTCTCCATCTTCACTGTTCTGTTTGGTACAGAATCACAGTGATGCAGTAACTCAAATAAATCTTTAAGATCCAATAAGGCATTTAAAGCAATCATTTTTTTAACGGCGAAATAAAGCATCCTTAAACAAACTGTTTAAGGACAAGAGATTAGGTTTATATGGTCCCTAGACTATCTTCTCCTACTGCATTTGCTCTGGAAACTATGTAATACTGCGTTTGAACAGCTACCAAAGATTTTTTTATTATGTTACTATACACTATACTTTTAATAACCTCTCACAGAAGATTACCCTTAGCAGAGCTCAACATATATGTTTGTAACGAACAACAAAATTAAAGATCCTCTCACCTTGTTGGTAGCCACACCAATAAAACGAGAAGAACCAACTGCATCTCGGAGAGTGCCAGCTTCCTCTTCATCGCTGCTCTTTACAAAACCTAACCGTGCAAGAAAAACACAAACCCACTCTCAGCTACAGCCAGGCTCCGCCGAGCAGCGCGTTCAACTTAACCCGAGGGAAAAATATGTCACTTCAGCGGAGAAAGGAAACCACCGGATTCCTGCAGCACTTTTCACTACTAGCAACTTATTGTATCTCCATCTTTCCCAACGATCCTGCTCTGCGCGGAGAGGCAACGGAGGATCAAAAGTGGCATGTGAGCAGACGCGTCAGCTGCCTCCCTTGTCTGTAAGCTGAAAGCCTCAAGACGAAAAGGAACCGAAAA